CTCTGCTCCGGCACCTGGAGCACCTCCTCTCCTCCATCTTCACTGATCTTGGTGTTTGCAGAGTTGTTTCTCTCACATATTCTCACTCCTCTCTCCAGCTGCAATTGCGCAGGTTTTTTTCCCCTTCTTAAATATGTTATCACAGAGGCGCTACCACCGTCGCCGATGGGCTCGGCCTTGGCCAGCAGCAGGTCCGTCTTGGAGCCGTCTGGCATTGGCTCTATCAGACATAGGCGAAGCTTCTAGCAGCTTCTCACAGAAGCCCCGACTGTAGCCCCCCTGCTACCAAAACCTTGCCACCCAAACCCAAAACAGCTATTGACATCAAGTGCTGATAGCATTCCTTTACAAGTCATTGTGTGTGCATGCAGCACTTCCTTGTGGTACATGCTGTCCAACAGCATATGAGACATTACTACTTTGTGATTTAATGACCCACAAAATTCTCCTCTCCAAGGACTGGGACCCCACTGTGTTACCCATTCACACAGTTTCGATTCCATTTTATCTGGCATTCTGTTCCTTAAGAACACTGGAACAGAGAAGGCTTACAAATTTTTAACACTGCATTGATAACGAAGTTCACAAAATCGACCTTGGAGATCTCCAAAAGGCCAGTTCAGTCTTCCAGCACTCCTAGGCAAAATCACCTTTGTTCATTTTGCTGCCCACTTTCTCCACTAATCAGTTGCACACACAGTTGATACGTGGGTATACATCAGTTGCACATATTTATATTTTTTAAACTGTAGCACACTGGCAATGGACAGCCAGTTTGTTGCCAATGATCATTCCCCAGTCTTCTTTCAAAGTTGTTTTTTTTTACAGGATTTTTTCTTTTTGTTGTACAGAATTATTTGTCTTTCAACTTACTGTATTCAAGATCACTCATTCTCATTTTGTAATTTTCTGCTTGTGGTTTGTGGTCTCTGTTTACAAACAACAACAATGGCAATAGTAACAGCAGCTAATAAGTAATGAATAATTTTATACTTCATAATACATGGTCTGAGGCATTTCTTTCAATTTGTCTTGTTCCCATTATAATGTAAAATCTGTACTGTTTCACTCATTTCATTTTACTGTACATTTGGTACATAGTTTGTCCTTGCTTTTTGAAACCACCATGATTTTCCAGTAATTTATGAACTAAGTTACTTAGAAAAACAGATCAAATGACCTGCAAAAGTTAGTAATTCTTTCACTATCGAAGAGAGTTGCACGGTACAGAACTGACTTCACAAACCCTGTGGGATGTAGGCAAAAGCAAATGGTGATTTTTTTTTGATAAAAGGATTCTGTACAAGGTAGTATTTCAGAAATAACTTTTTAATGAAGATAGTGAAACTCACTGTGATACAGCTAGATATTAAAAAAGAAACAGTATGCATGTTGCAGTTATTCAAGGAAAACATTGCAAGTTTTGCAAAATATTTCCAGTGCAGGTAACAGATTTTTTGTTTTGAAGATGGACTCTAATTGGACAGTTGAATAAAGATGGATTTTTAAAAAATCATTATAGTTAACCTGGAAGGAAAGGTTTCATTTTCTGAGTACTTCCCCTCTCTCCCTTCTCAATTGTATCCTTTTAAAATTTAGTTCAGAACTGAAACAAAAATGCCACTCTGAGTCTGTATCCAGAGACTTGCCAAAATGTAAGAATGCAATGTTTAAATATCTTCGGTATCTCTCCCTCCCTACTAAAAAACCCCAAAAATCTGCAAATTCAGCCCGACAAATTCGCCAGTAGTCCATCTGACTCTGCATCCACTTTCACATCTATCTAAATCAGCCTTACATGACCCCAGAGAAGGCAAATGTTTCTCTGATAATGGCTAGCATAATAGGCTAGGATTCTTTTCATTTTACCAGCTTTCAAGTAAAAGGAGAAAAGTGCAGAGAAATCATGAACTCTCTTGATTTTGTCAGAATTCTGATTCTGCTGGCAGAGATGTGACTGTTAGGAGAAACTAATGCCCATAACTTTGAGACTGATGCTTTCAGAAGCATTCTCCTTTGCTCGTGATAGACAGTGGGCTGAGCCTGCCATCATATAATCCCAGGAAGTTGGTTAGCATTTCCCATACAATTCAACACTCGTTATATTGAAAGCAGAAATCAAGTGATAGCATACTATATAAAACAATTGTTTGTGTTTGGAAAGTCCATCTTTGTTGCTGTGGATGATTTAATCCTCTGCTATGCTTTTTCTGTATTTCATTAAAAACGCCTCTGGAATTTCATTGTTTCTTGTTCAGATACAACTGGAACCTCTGAAATAAGTTTCTGGCTGCCTTTGTGTCTTTGGAAGAAAAGACAAAGAAAAAGTTTTCAAAAATAAGAAAGGCTAGAGATGACTGTTAAAGTAGTTACCATAATGTCATTGCTTAGATCAAGGTGAGAAGAATATTGGCTTAGGTGGAATAGTAACGTTGCACCAATTTTTAAAGTACCAATTCTGTGTAATTCCAGTGCATACCTCCCCCAAGGAACAATATCTCTTCCCTGTCATACACTACTGAAGATTCAAAATACTTAAATTAGCAAAAGTAGTGACTGAAGGATATGTAGCACTCCTTTTATATGAGCAACATTTGATGAAATTAGACAATACTGAAGGTTTGTTGTTGCATAAGCCTGTGCAACAATCAATTTCTGTTTTCTAGTATGATGGTCTAAATTATAGGAGCAAAAGGAGAAACTGGGCAAATGTCACTGGTTTGAAAACACTAATAATGAAGGATCTGGAAAGAAGGTTAGTTTTTGAGTACAAAAAAGACAGAGGAAAAAAGTCTGAGTGAGCAGGGATCTTGGGATTCAGTGGTAAATCCTGGACCTTACACTGGCTTTTTTTTTGCTACACTTGCTTTTTTTTTTTATATGGTGATACATTTGTGACTACCTAGCAGCCCTCACAACTAACTGAGAGGGGAAAGCATACACCGATTTACTGAGCAACTTGGTATTTTGATTTCCTGCAATTTTTATTCCAAATACTGTGATTCTGCGCTCCGCCCCTCGCCCCAATCTCTGCTCGTAGAATCGTGTGATTGTCTGAGAAACTTACCTTTCACTTTAGGATAGAAAGGTGGCTGGGGAAAGCTTGAAAATACAGGCCCCACTTGTTTTTCAGTTTGTTTGTTAAAGGAGAAAGAAATCTAACAGCACATAGCATTCACTGATTAGGATTTTTGTATATTTCTATCGGCCTTGCTGCTTTTTAAGATACTTCACTCTATCCTACTATGTAAGTATGGTCCTGGCTGTGAACACCGAGTGCAGCTCCTTTTCTGGATGATTGTCAGAGTTGGGTGCAGAGGCAGAAGTTTTCAAAGACTTACAGTATGTTGGACTACTACTTTCCCTTCTTATATAAAACATATGACTTGTCATAGAGTTATATTTACCCTGAGATCCAGAAGAGTATACAGTAGATGACAGACTTTCATGATTCAGTAATTGTCTAATAAGCCTTCCGTAGTTAAAATTTATCTGTTCAAAATTTGTTACTGCTATACAAAGGACCGCATCCTCTATTGCTATCCAAATATACAGCGCCGCTGAGTGCTATGGACTTTATTAACTCTCTCAAAATTTTTTTCATAAATGATAAGCTTTTGATAGCATATGAAAATTACCTACAGATTTGCAAAATATACAAGAGTTTAGAAGGGTTGATGGCTTCATTCTATTTTTTTAATTAGTTTTTGATGTACAATGATGAGTTTAGTGTAGCAGTTCTGTAAGCTGCTCCCAAATGTGAGAAGTCCATGCAGCTGTAATAGTAGTGTTTTAAACCAGTTGGTTTTATATGTGGGAACCTGCTATGTGTAAAATTTGGCAAATATAGCAGGTGTACTTTGTCTATGCATTTTTATGTATGCAAAAAACATTAATTGCTGCAGTTATCTATTCTGTGTTGAGTATCCAATTTTTTTTGTATGGGGAGGCAGAAAAAGTGTTTTGGGTGTGAGTGTTCTCTGTGAAGTGTAGAAAACCGTGCTTATGTGATTTAAAGGGAAGGGGCAAAATTTAGCAGTGTCTGTGGCCCTCTGATAGACACAGTTAATTGATGATTGAGCTCAGAATCAATGGGCTGTATTTTCAGCGATGGACATGGCTATCATACTGGTTTCTGTTTCAAGAGTCTCTGGAATGATGAACCTGTTAGAAAGGCACGGAGCCAAAAATATCTTTTTAAGTGTCTCGTTAGCACTGGCTAACAGAATGAATTATATACAGAATATATGAAATCATAACAAGCTTTTAAAACAAAGAACTAAAACCTCAGAGAAGTAATTTATTAGCCACGTAACATTTTGTAGAGATTTCTTTTAAAAATGTAATAGTTTTTATAATGAGTTTATTTCTGTGTGGTAGAAAGGTTCCAAGAATGGGCAGCAAACTGATATATCTTCAAAATTCTATTCGGCTCTTTGGCACAAGAGACATATAAGCGTTCTCCAGGCAAATTCATGCATGCCTAAAACTGGGAATATGTTCAAAGATATGTGGAAAGTTACAGTATCATGCAATGCATTCCTTAGATGATACATCAAATTTACCTATTCGTATCATGAGCACACCTGTTCTGAAACAGAACACTTTTAATCAGGTAGCCTTATCACTCAACAAATAAATTATTTTGACCAAAAAGTCCTGTTCCTTCTCAATCAATCAATCAATCACATGTTTTTGTGTCCTGATAATACCATTCCAACTTTGCTTCATAGTCTTCCAGTAGGACACAAGGACTATTCAGACAATGTTTTTCATAAAAGATAGTAGCAGGAAAATATCATGTTTGATTTCTTTGTCATTAAGAAAAATTATTAAACGCTTGCTGTTTCTTTAGCAGGTTCATTTGTGTTTTCAGTTCAATCGAGTCTTACCTCTCTTTTCTACATAAGAAAGTCAGACGTGCCAGGACTGCAAGACCAACTATTCCAAATACACAGCCAAGAAGAATTACTTGTTTGATATCTGAAAAACAGAGACCAACCACAAGAAAACAGGAAGACACTGATACATTTCTTCATATCTGTTTGAATGTAGTCACATATGACAATTTTTTAAATAGTACATATGGTGTTAATTTTACTGTTCTTTGTATTTATGGAACAAACTGGTAAAGGGTAGGAACTCACATAATTCATACTCTTGACAATTAGGGCAGGTGGCTGTTCTAACACAAAAAAAGGACGGCTAGTGGTTAATATGTAGTCAACATCATGAATGTACAATATTTATGTAGAACTGCCAATCCCAACAACTGACAGCAATTTTTCAATTCTTTTTCCATACGGCTTGCTTGCTTTAAAAATTGCCCCTATTTTGGCATTAAAATTTTGAAACTGCGTCTGCTGCTTAATGCTTTATGTAAAAGAGAGCAAAAGTGACTGTTCCGATGTGGGTATGGTGAACTTCATCAGACAGTATGAACACGCTAAAAGTGTCAATTTAATTCAGTGACTGCATAATAAGGACATATGAAAAATAGAAAGAAACCAGATATGAAACAAATTTTGAATAACAAATCTCCTCTTGTTTTCCTATTCTACTAAAGAGTTGCAGGTTACCAGTTCTGTCACTTTCCTACTGATTTAGGACAGTGCTAGCAGGATGCTGTATGGCTGTGGTGAGCAACGGAAAGTAAAGATATCACGCAGGTAAATTTTGCGTGACACATAACAGGATTGGTAAAAGTTTAGGAGATGCAGCATCTGGAGTGAACTGTCTGGGAGAAATAATGCTTCCTGAATTTTGTGTCCTTTAAGGAAAATACCTACTGGAGTACCACCACTGAAAAACTGCAAGTCCTAGTGTGAGCAATCTTTGTCTCAGGTTCAGTGTCAGGGAGTCAAACAGAAGTGTAGTTCCTTGGCTCTGAGACACTGTGGTGTCTTGAGGTCAAAGTAGATTCAGTGCTTTGCCCTTTTTCTGCACCTAGTGATAGTGCTATATGCATGTATCAGGGAGCACATAGCCTATTTAGAGATAGGTGAGCAGTGGTGCATCTGAGCTTTAATGCATCTGGACTGAATTTTTGCCAGCCCTTCCTTCCATCACTTTGTCATGCCTGCAAGAAGAACTGCCCGAACTACAGCCTAGCACACAGTGATGGCAGAGTGATCTAACAGACACTTCCGTGATCCTAGAATAAATAATTTGGTTTCTAATTTGTTTTATACTGAAGTTTAAGGAAAGAAGTGAGATACATAAACTGTTTCACAGGCATTGGTCCTTCATCCAGAAACTTCTGTACAAGGCTCGAAAACTTCTGTTTAGCTTACACACAACTTACAGGCAGGTACCCTGTCTCTGCCAAGTGATGAGAACCCACCATTGGCCTCGGTAGTTTGGTCCAGTGGTGATTTGCCTCTATTGTGAAATCTTTGTATTTAATTTATAATCTTAGGTTATATTTCTTGATTTTAATATGTTTTGCAGCCAGTCTCCTGGAAACGATAGACAGAGAACAATTCCATAATAAGAAGACCTAATGTTTTTTGGCATCCTCATCTGAAAAAAAGTGCAGAAGACTAATGAGATTTCTGACAACTTTCCAAAAAGAACTGTATTTACACAGAGCTTGAGCCTGGAAAATGAAACCTAAAAGTGAGAAGAGGAGGGGAAAAAAAAACACAACAAAAACCGAAAGACAGACAAAACCAGATTGCACTTAACAATACCAAATTATTGTCTGTCACAAACAGACTATACGTATACATATCTTGCTAAGATTTTATAATTTTTAGCTTCTTATGATTTTACTATTCTCCTTTGCTTTTGCTGGATGGTTTCTTTTTCTTCTTCTATGTGATATTCTGTGAAGGGAGGTTGCTGTGGTACTGGCAAGACTTGCAGTGGGATTGTAATTAGAAGCATAGCAAAATAATTATTAGCAGAGGATTGCCATGGAAACTTTAATTCAAGGAAGCAAAACTCAAAAGCAACAATATGCAGGCCCAACAGCATAATTTGTATTTGAAATTTCAAATACAGAAGTGGATTTTGCAAAATAACTGGTGTTCAATTTTCTTGTTTCCGTCTCTCTTCCTATCCAGTTTTCATAGTTCTCATGCCTTTATTTTAACTGTACTAGCTTTTGAAAAACAGAAACATATAGGAACTAAACAACCTTGGTGATTTCCAATACAGAGCTTGAATCTGATGTGCCACAGAACTGCAGCAAGTGTAATGGGCACAGCATTGTAAAGAAGTACCCCTAGAAGCTGAGAATAACAGAGGGCTGGGCCCTGTGTTTTTGACCAGCATGAAAGAAATAATTTGAAAAAGTGTGTTTTAATAGCTCATGCTGGAAGCAAAAATGTGACCACTAATCACAGTGGCTAGGTCAGTGGTCACCCATTCAGGCGCCCAGAAATTTGGAAGTGCTGTCCATTAATTTTGTCAGCATTTTCCTGGCATCAAGAAGGCTCTCTGTCAAAGGGCTTGATAAAATGGATGTTGGTGAAACAGCAGCATGCTGCTGTGTAAAGAGGAAAACAGCGAAGAAAATTGATATCAGTAAAAACAGATTTTGACAATATGAAATCCTTTTCTGTACTTATGCTGAATTCAGAATCAACAAAGGAAAACTGGCACTGGATTTCAACTATGTCTTAGACCGGAGGCAGAAACGTATTTAGTGGAAAGCAAGTACTAGCTGTCCATGCTATAAAAATACTAGAGGCTTAGACATAAGTGAGAGGAACTTTGGACTGTTTTGCCTATCTTCTCTGGAGAGACTTGCATGTGTCAATAGAATAACCTTCTCAGACAAAGACTGATATCCAGCAGCATATCTTATGATGCAAAAGGAGGAACAAGGCTAGATATGAAATCCATTATTAGGGCACAGCAGTAAAAAAAATGAACGAAGAACTGTGGAGGCAATTTGTATTTTATGTTGTCTCGATCAGCTGTCAGTATTGTCAGTATCCTGCTGCTATGGGCAGCATTGCCATACTCCAACTTCCTGAGGCTGATTAAATATCATCATTTTTGGCTCACATTACAAATGAACTACAACTCCAAATATCAAATAGTAAGGAAGGTCTTTGTTACAATCAGATCAATAAAATTCTTTCACACCTTGTTCTTTGTCATCTTTCAGGAAACCATGTGCTGGAAAACATTGCAGTTTTTGTTTGCTTGTCCATAAAGCTGCAGCACGTCTCCATCATTCTGAATGCAGTTAATCTCTGCGTATCTTCCAACTCCTTCCCTCTGACCTCTCAGGGCTGGCTTTTTGCCCCCCTTTCTCCAGTGTAAATGTCAGCATCCAGTCTGTTTATTGAGATTGACTGGCTCCTATCCAGTATGTATGTGGTTGATGGCAGCAATGGAAAAATGTTCTTAGCTTTCAGCTTAGCAAAATGTTTTGCCACTGCCTTTTTAAGATCTGGCCTTACTTTGTAAAGATTTCATTCTTCTCAGACTTTTGACAGACGATCTATTATTACTGTGAATTATGAAGCATGCTAAATTATCTGCTAAAATTCTGAATCTTTCGTATTTTCAACAGTTAACTAAAGTATTCCATGTGCTCTGGCCTATCATATTAAACAGAAATATTTTGAAATATTTTCCAAAATAGCATCACTACTGAGATTGGCCCCTGTGAACACAATCAGTTGCATATTGATTACTAACAATGGCTGGTCCAAGAAAACATTCCATAAACGTTCACTCATCTATTTAAAATTAAGCAACATTCCCTGTTTTGTATGTGCAAATGTTCAATAATTATTTTTTATGCTAAAGTCCACAGTCTGCTGCCCAAACTCACTGCAGTTCATCTCACAAATACCAATAAATGTGCAGAACTGCGTTGGAAATGAACAAGCAGTTGGTGCAGGTCTGCAGAGGCTGATGAAATGTGTCAGCTGGCCAAGAATTCATTGCTGATGTGTGTTGGGCACTTTCCACATTTCTTTGGAAGATGCTCAGAATGGAGAATCTGTTGATATGAATTACTTGATGAATACTTTTGGGAACAATTAATTCAGCATTAAAAGTGCTTCAACATGCCATGTGGCCTTGCATCACCCTGGTGCTTTGAAACATTGCCATCTTGAGGACATTTGGAGTGTACATGGCATATGAATAAAGTTGAAACTTTTAGAAAACATTGAGCAGTTTCCTGTAAATCGTAGAGACAGCCTAACTGCTACTAAATCCAACAATCCCAGGCTAATTGATAATCTAATAGTAGTGACACAAGAGGGGTAATAAATTTATGTTATTTATACTAAATACTATTACATCATTCACAATAATTTTACTGCTGTAGAATAATACTTTATGTTTTGAGATAACATAATCCTTTAGAACAAAAGAGTGGAAGCCTTCAACAAGCGTGGGCTGTGTCTGCTCCCGAATCAGAGAACCGCAGAGTGGCTGAGGTGGGAAGAGACCTCTGGAGATCATCTTGTCCAATTCTCCTGTTCAAGCAGGGCCACCCAGAGTCAGTTGCCCAGCACCATGTCCTGATGGCTTTTGAGTATCTCCAGGGAGGGGGACTCTACAGCCTCTCTGGGCAACCTGTGCCAGTGCTCGACCACACTCACAGTAAAAAACGTGTTTCCTGATGTTCAGAGGAAACCTCCTGTGTTTCAGTTTGTGCCCATTGTCTTTTGTCCTGTCTCTGGGCACCACTGAAAAGAGCCTGGCTCCATCCTCTTTGCACCCTCCCTTCAGGTATTTGTACGCATTGATAAGACACACACCCACACACACACACCCCGCCGAGCCTTCTCCAAGCTGAACAGCTCCCAGCTCTCTCAGCCTTTCCTGATAGGAGAGATGCACCAGTCCCCTAATCATCTTCGTGGCCCTTCATTGGACTCTCCAGCATGTCCGTGTCTCTCTTGTGCTGAGGAACGCAGCACTGGACACAGTGCTGCAGGTGTGGCCTCACCAGTGCTGAGCAGAGGGGAAGGATCACCTCCCTAGGCCTGCTGGCAATACTTTGCCTAATGCAGCCTGAGACACTGTGAACCTTCTTTGCCGCAAGGGCACACTGTTGGCTCGTGTTCAACTAGGTGTCCACAGGGCCCCCAGGTCCTTTTCTGCCAAGTTTCTCTTCAGGCACGCATTTTATAATGTGTGACTTCATAACCCACCCCTCAGATGGCTCTAGACTGGGTATACGTTTGCCCCAGCCAGTTGCAAAGACAGTTAAAACTGTATTAGTGATGACAGAACGAAGGATGACAATAAATGATTGGGGGTTGTGCCATCATTTATACTTGAAAAATAGCTCAAATTATGTGGATACTAAAGGTTTTCAATAACCTCTAGTTCTCTATGTGTATGCATGTATGCATAGATTATATATTTATAAAGCTGCTAAAAGAACATTACATGAAACAACATAAGAAAATTACATTAAAATAATGCTGTAAATAAGGATTCTTTTTATAGCCTTTGTATTTTTGTGTTATGGAATCATTTTTAGCTAAGTACTATGCTTTCCTGCTTTTCTAACACTGAGTTTGAAATTTATTTTAGGCCATCCACTCAAGAAGCATGCCTACCAGTTCCTTTCAGCCAAACCTAGAGAAAGGGAAGCATATAGCCCTAAACCCTTAGAAAGAGTAGATACATGAAATAAAAAAAACCCAACACAATAAACCACCTGTTACTTAGATTTGAATATTAGTCTTTCTAGAAACCCAGGGATCGCATGTCCAATGTCTTCCCAAGTAAGAGAAGTTGCTTTTATCAAGGGCCATCGTCGTATACTGAGATTACCTTGTTCGTGATAATGATTTTTTAATGTCAATTTGTAACATTTAAAAGGAAACAGACCTGTTCTCAGGATGCAACTGGGTGTGTCTCCAGACCAGGCCCCTGTCACTTGGCAAATTCTTTTCTTTGACCCTGTGAGTTCATAGCCCTGATTGCAGATGAAACTGATGGTTGAGCCCAGCAGGTAGTTAGTTCCATTCTTTCTTCCGTTCATTGGATGATCCAGCCAGCCACAAGAGATCACTAGTAAAAGAGACATATCTGGTTAAAGTATTTTGGATTTGGACTAGCAAATCTCCCTCACAATGATTCAAATGGCATTTTAGTGGCAACTCATGGAAAGACAAAGATTTTTAGGCTAACTGACAGACAATACTTTCTGGGGTTTTTAAAAATTTTTTATTTTTAAGTCCAAGGAAGACAGGTGAAGGCATAAAAAAGGAAGATAAGGGTTCTACGCAGTGGTGTAATAGTGGGAGAAATGAAATTTATTTTGTGTTTGTCTAAGTATCCTACCAGTGCAGAGTTTTCCTGGTACAAGGACAATTCCTCCCGATAAAAGTGTTTACAGGTGCATGAACCTACAGTTGAGCAAAGCCTTCTTGAACAGTGTTAACTATTTAGATGCCCTGCAAAAAGAACTGTAGTGATGGATGCTTTGTGGAATGTTGTATCACCTGGCTCTAGATTTTCTACTAGCAGCTTGTGATTCTGATGAGATAGTCTTGTGGAACTTCCCACTTGAAGGCTTCTTGTTGTCAGGACATCGAATCTGCAGAACGGGTCAGAGTCACAGAGCGAGACCATCTCTTTCACCAGGGGATCAGCAGGGTCTTCGTAAGGAAAGAACACGGGCAGAAAGGAAGCATTGTGCTTTTCCCCATAAAAGGAATTATTCAGTAAGAACTCTGTGTCATAAGTAAAGAGAGAAGTTCCATTTTCAACAGCCCCTTGGGAGATGGAGAAAGAGAGAGATTCATATGTAACATTGCCTACAGACCTATACCACGTTCTGCTACTAATCCAAGTGCTTATTTACATAAAAGTAGCTAGAGCTGGAAGAGATCTATGAAGCCCTACAGCTTCCTTCCACTCAAGATTATTTTCCTTTTCATAGGCAGCATCTTAACTTAGCACTAAAGTTAGTGTTTGGTTAACCTGGTGTTTGATCAATTACTTAAAATTAGATACAAATAATTGCGTAGCTATGATTTTACATAAAGATGGTTTAAGATGCCTGCTGGCAAAATGGTGATAAAGTAGTTCCTCAGACAGAGCTAGCTAAACCAAACATTACAAGCAACACAAATCCTGATCTTGCATGTCCCTAAATTTATCGTGTCTGCCGTGGCCCTGCTTTTTGCTTTCACTCTGCTAAATCAGAAACTTCCTGAAGTAGGAGCAGTGAGACTTTTCAGTATGATCTGAATCCTGGAGTACAGCTACACTGTGCTTGATACAGAGATCAACCGGTAGCCAGAGGGTATTTTACATCATGTTTCTGGCCCATCTCCTAACCCGATGTCAGAAGGAATGCTGACCAGTCTAATGCTGCAGGCTAGATATAGCAGCCTAATCACTTTTATTAAATGAAAGCAGCCATTCTTTTACACACACACCCTCACACCCTCTTTTTTAAAGGGACAATTATTAAATTGTGATTTAATAAATGATTTTTTAAATTGTCAGCATGGTACTTGATGGAAACATTGCTAATATTCTGGAAAAAGATAGCTGACCCTGGCTATTGCTATACTTCTGTAACGCTTTAGTCTGGTGATGCTGTGTTCAGCTGACCATAGTAGATGGAATTCTTCTGAATGTGTAAGCTGTGAAATATAAGCTCTGACTCTTGATGCAACAAAGTGCGGGACACTCCATTGTGGTTCTGTCTTCAATCATTCGGCTAGGTACGTCACCCGCTTGGGTAAAGGAGGGCATATTTCTCTTACTCCTTTCTCTTCCCCCAGTATAGGTTGCTTAGCACAGACTCCATTTGCTAGTCTGTAAATCACAAGCTGTTTTGAATTTTTAAAGAAAATGTAATAATAGACCAGAGAAATTACTTACAGTTAGCTCCAAACTCAAACAACTGCTGGGGACTTGCATGAACTGACATGATGGTTTTATTCCTGAAGGTATACTCATCCTCTGTATTGCCATTCATTACCCCAAAGAGACCCTGTGTGTGATTCATAAACTTCTCTGGGAGCAGAACTGTCACGGTCAGAAATCCTCCGCTCCCCCTTATTTCCACTCCAGACCCAGAAGAGAACATCACTGTGATGTTCTGATCAGCTGTAGAATGGAGAAAGAGACCTATAACAATGAGAGGAAGAAGATAAAATAGCTAATCTTCCATAGTGAACAGATTGTTGTGTCATCAGTTTTAACCGTTTTTCATAAAGCTTTTCTTCCCTTCCACTTTGGGCTACATTCTGAGAAGCATTTAAAGGGAGGCCACACCTTCATACCTACAACTGCGGTAACATGGCTACTACAGAGTAGTAGCAAAAAAAGGCCCACAGTTGATATAAGCTGCACTGCCCTTCTGCCAGTGTCCCAGAGCAGAAGCTTTAAGATCAAGATGATCAGAGTAGCTGTGAGCTGGAAGCACTGCTCTCAGTGGTCACAGATTTCCTCGGCTTCTTGATTGTCTTGTCAAGACCTCCCTAATATGGCTTCTTCTCCAAGCCTCATCGCTGTCCCTTCCTTTTTTTTCCTTCCTGCATCTCTCTGCTTCTGCAGCTCCTTGTCAATGTAACCTTCCCTCTGCTCTTCATTATATTTTCCAGCCATTTGAGGAATACTAATTGCTAGCCACAGAAAACTTCCTCTGCTGAATAGGAGGCTTACTGTTAAAATTCTAGTAATGTTTAGAGTATTTGTCAAATTATTATAAAGACTAATCAAATTATCACAGCCCTGGAGTAAAAAAAGTCAACTTTTCATAGTCTTTTCAGCAGAAGAATAGAGGAATAACATCTGACCGATCAAGAGAGCTCCTGATAGATGAATGTGAAATTCAGTCATATTTTAATATATATTTTGGTTATATTTTACTATATTTCATTTTGCCTGGTAGGTTTCATTGCATTAGATGCAGTAAGCTCAAAGCAGAATGTGGAGTAAGGAGTTTTTAATTCCATTCACCCTCCATGGGATGAGATGGAAAACCATTGCTCTACAAACTACTGAAAGAGCACATAGAAGACGTGGGCATTGAAGCAATCATCTGTTAAAACACTTCACTGTTATTGCCAGGATTGCATGCCATCCCTTCATACTCCTCTCGCACCCCAGAAAGTTCAGGCAAGCACCAGGTGTTGGTAAACATTGTCATTTATGTTATTTGGACATTCTGGGAGAGGAGAACGTGCCACAGTCCAGCCTACTGGCAAATCTGATGACTCTGTCTGTTCCTGGACACAGCATAGGTGCTTCCAGTTACAGCTAGGCTAACTGCCAGTAATGCTGATGAGAAGCAGGAAGGTTGCAAGTTCTGATGTGCTCACCTGAACTATGACTCCCTGCTACACCTCTCCATGGGAACACAGACAGCCATGGTGTGCTTCTCTGTAGCACGCTTGATCTGTGGCTATTTGGAAGGAGACGTGTAGCCCATAATTCTGGTGGCTATATTCCTGCCCATATTGTAGCTGTCATCAGTCTCAAAGGCCAGAGGAATCCATGCACTGGGCTACTATAAAGACAGGGTCAGGTAGGCAAATTGGATGGAAAGGGCATTCTCCCCCGTGCTCTCAATTTTATTTCTTTCACCAAGGCCCATGCCAGCTGTGCACTACCACTGATTCTGCCTCAATCTGGCAGCAACTGAACTGAAGAAAGTCATGTGATAATAAAATAAATTCTAATGAGCTGGGACATTGCCTGTCCTTTGTTTCACTCCTTACATAATTTTTGGAGTGACCTGCAGCCTGTTTTGCAAAAGGACACTGAAAAGAGAGTCGAAACGCATGCATCTGGAGATACTTTTAACTATACATGGGCTCCATCAGAATACAATAGCTTACAAGGCTGATATTGTAACTAACCTTTCAGGTCCATCCAACTTTGCTCAGAGAAGCTGATGACCTTCTGGTTCAACAGGACCTCCAGATTCAAATCCTCTGAGTAGCGTACTTCAATCACATCAGAGTTGTTCTCCTGCATGGCCAC